AATAGAATAGAATAGAATAGAATAGAATAGAATAGAATAGAATAGAACAGAACAGAACATGAATTCTTTATTGGCCAAGTGTGATTGGAGACATGGAATTTGTCTTTGGTGCATAAGCTCTCAGTGTACATAAAAAAAAAACATTTGTCAAGTATTTAAGATACAACACTTAGTGATATAGGCTACTAATAAGCAATCAAATCATGTTAGAGAAAAAATAAAACAATATAAATTGTAAAAATACAAGCAACATGGTTATAGTTATAAGTTGGAAGAGATATGTAATATAGGAAGGATGAGAAGAGTAATAGTAATACAGTTTGACTAAGCAGTTTGACAGTGTTATGGGAATTGTTTAGCAGAGTGATGGTGTTTGGGGAAAAACTGTCCTTGTGTCTAGTTGTTCTGGTGTGCAGGGCTCTATAGCGTCGTTTTGAGGGTAGGAGTTGAAACGGTTTATGTCCGGGATGTGAGGGGTCTGGAGATATTTTCACAGCCCTCTTTTTGACTGGTGCAGTATATACAGGCCCTCGATTGAAAGCAGATTGATAGTAATTGGTTTTTCTGCAGTCCTAATTACTCTCTGAAGTCTGTTTGTCTTGCTGGGTTGCAGAACCAAACCAGACAGTTATAGAGGTGCAGATGACAGACTCAATCATTCCTCGGCAGAACTAGCAGCTCCTTGGGCAGTTTGAGCTTCCTGAGTTGGCGCAGAAAGAACAAGAATCATTAAAAGAAAGGAGGACAAAGGAGAGACAGAATGAAATGCGAATGGCAACAATAAAAACATTTTTTTATTTATTTCAAATAATAAAATTTAATTGTTAAATTGTCCAGAGGAGAGTTGGGCCCATTCCGACACAGGCGGCCTTCATTTCTTTTTTTTTAACCTTTTGCAAAGACAGAATTTCTTCTCATCAGGATTTGAGGATTCCAAGTGGGTTAGAACAGGACCATAACCCATTGGCCACAGGCCCCCAGGTAGTTGCGCACAAGCCCCACTTGCGAGTCCCCACATCACAGATTCTCACAGCCCTACTCGTGTGAGCAACGGGTGTTCACACACACACATACCTTGCCCCTCCCACAACCATCTTCTCTTTCACCCCTCCACTCCTTTCGGGCCAGCAACCTGGAAAGGTTGGAGAAGTCTGGGTTAAAAGCCTGTAAAATACTGGCCAAATTTTCTGTTCAATATATAAGAAATTATGAGCACCCGTTGTGAGCCATGTCAGATGGCTTGGAGCCTGGGCTTGCCTTAGGGTAACTGGGCTATATATATAAGAGTTGGTGCGCTTCTGTGCTTTTAATATTGTTTCTGAGTTCTTGTGGTTCTGATTGCTTCTGCTTCTTATCCTTGACCTTGCTGCCACATTGCAAGAGCTGGATGGGTATTGTATACATGCATCATGTTTTATATTATATTGTATACAAAAAGGTTGCTTCTATAAATGAATCCTGCTGATTTATTTATGCGTGTGCTGCTTGGATTTCTGCAAACTCTTAACATTTCCCAGCAAAAGCTCCCTATTTCTGCCCTTGGATGATTCTCTCTGGATTCTCCCTTTTTGGTTTGGATTTTAAAAAAGGCCTTACCTCTTCTTCCGGTTCAATATGGCCACCTGCAAGGCAAAAAAAAAAAAAGCCAGTTTCTGGCTGCTTCTGAAAACTTAGATTCAGTAAAGGTAGTCCTCAACTTATGACCACAACTGATCCCAAATTTCTGTTGTTAAGCGAGCCATCAGTTAAGTGGGTTTTGCCCCATTTTACAACCTTTCGGGCCTCAGTTGTATAGTGGCATTTTTAAACTATTTAACTTACTGAATGTTTTAGTTAGGTTTTAGATTAGGTTTTTAATTATTATTATTATTTTAATTTTTAAATATTCTGTAGTGTGAGTGTGATGTGGTGTTTGGGGCACGGTGCTGGAGTAGCTTTCAAATTTCATTGTATTTGTGGAATGCAATGACAATAAAGGTATTCTGTTCTAGTTGAATCACTGCAGCTGCTAAGTCAGTTTGGCAACTGGTTCATATTTATGACGGTCACAGTGTCCCTGGATCACGTGGTCCCTTTTTGGAACCTTCTGCCCAGCAAAGTCAATAGGGGAAGCCAGATTCATTTAACAACCGTGTATTAGAGATGCAACCTAGAACTAAGGAGAAACTTCCTAACAGAGAAGACAATTAATTTTGCCCCCAGAAGTTGTGGGTGATTCAACAATGGAGGTTTTGAAGAAGAGATTGGATAGCCACCTGTCTGAAATGACATAGGGTCTCCTCCTTGGGCAGGGGGTTGGACTAGATGATCTCCAAGGCCCCTTCCAGCTCTATTCTGATTAACCACTTAATCTTTCAGCTAACGGGCTCTTCAGTTATCTGACTTCAGGATCTGTTTGCTTACAGTGAGCAACGCAACTTTTCTACCAAAAGAAAATCTTAAGCTTGAAGATTAGAGGGGCTGGAGCGCTTTTCTAAGCCAAAGGCGTCCTAACGGCCGTGGTGGCACAGTGGTTAGAATGCAGCATGGCAAGCTAACTCTGCTCACTGCCAGGAGTTTGATTCCTTCGATCCTGATCAGGCTCAAGTCGGGTAAAATGAGGACCTAGATTGTTGGGGGCAAGAGGCTGACTCTGTAAACCGCGTAGAGAGGGCTGTGAAACACTGTGAAGGGGTATGTAAGTACTCCTTCCTTCCTTCCTTCCTTCCTTTCCTTCCCAGTAGTTAGAATGCAGGATTGCAGGCTAACTCTGCACACTGCCAGCAGTTCGATCCTGACCGGCGCAAGTTTGACTCAGTCTTCTGTCCTTCCGAAGTCGGGTAAAACGAGGACCCAGACTGTTGGGGGCAAGAGGCTGACTCTGTAAACCGCTTAGAGAGGGCTGTGATTGAAGGCACTGTGAAGCAGGTATAAGTCTAAGGGCTATTGCTATCCTTGGGGTTACAGGGGTCTCTGCGGCCTTCCCAGTGGTGTATTAACCATGAAGTAGACTAAGCACATGCTTACGACACCAGGCACCACAAAGTTGAGAATAAGGGGTTGGTTTGTACAGTATGTACAAAGGAGAGGGGCACCAAGATTTGTCAGTGCTTAGGGCACCAGTGAGCCTTAATCCACCACTAGGCCTTACCATCCTCTTGCACCCGATCCCCCCCACTTTGGTTCTTACCAGGAGGCACCCAAGTATTGGGGAAGAGACTTAGCATCCTCGCCCGACGGGTCAACAAAACTTTTTGGTTTGCGGACTCCAGGAGAACGGCCACCCCGACATCCACCCCCTGGTGCCGAGTCTCTGTGGGGAGAGAAGCCCTTTGCTCTGCAGTCAAATGCTTGATGGGACAGAAGGGGGGGCGCTGGAAAAGAAACGGGGAAAAAAGTAGCCAGGATCCTGGAAATGGAAGATTTCACACTCGTGATACAGGGAGATCTTGACATGAGTACTCACTTAAGAGTTTATTCAAGATTTCAAGAAAATTTTAAAAAGAGAAACAAGTTCTCACATTTTACCGTATTGTTATAACAGTATGCATATTCTTCAGTGACAGTTCGATTCATTTACTACCAATAAATCTATCACTTGTTTACTAAGTCCTTACTTATTTATGTTATTATTAAATTACCATATTTATATATTTGCAGTATTTTACATATATATACATTCACATACACAATATGTCATATATCCAATTCTTCTTTAGGGTTTCTTTGGTTGTTTTCACTAAACATCTTTAGTTCCTTTTTTTTTAGCCAATTATACCATATATTCCATATTTTTTAAAAAAATCACCTTCTTCCTTATTTTTTAATACCATAGTTAATCTGATCATTTCTGCGCATTTTAATAGACTTTATTCAGTTTTCCCAACAATTTTAAAACATTAAAAAAAACAATTGCATCAACATTGAAGACATCATTTACATTTCTTAACCATATTCTTAGATTTAATTTTCTATTACATTGCAATTATTACATATTACTTTTTCTATTAATTCTCTATTCCTTACTTCTTGCTTATACCACTGGTTAAATAGTACATTTTCTGTTAATTCTACATTCAGTACATATAACTTCATATTCTTTAATTACAGTATTACTTTTCTTTCTATTCTCAAACCATATACACCAGGCGCCCCAGACTGAATAATACATCAATTCCTCTCTATCTTTTAACTCTAAAGTCAGCCTGTCCATTTCTGCGCAGTCTAGTATTTTCCTTATCACTGCTCCCTCTTGTGGTATATCTCCCCGTTTCCAGTGCTGTGCATATATAATCCTAGCAGCAGTTGTTATATGTACAATAATATATCTGTCAGTCTTGCTATATTCTCCCTTAATTATGCCTAACAGGAACAGTTCTGGTCAAAATTCAGTTTTTTGCTTTGCTGTTTCTTCAGCCGGTTGGCATTTACAACCAGTTGTTGCACCGTCCCGCGGTCACACAATCGCATTTTGCAACTCTTCTGACGTTTTTCCCATCGTTGGATAAACCAGATTAGAATGATTACTCTGTGATTGATTTAATGACAATGGTAAGAATGGTCATAAAATGGCATCCGGTCAGGTGATGACTCGATTTACAAGCACAATGACTACAGGTTGTTCTCGAGTTATGACCAGAATTGAGGCCAGAATTTATATCTCTTGGCGAGACATTTGTTGTGAGTTTTGCCCCGTTTTACGACTTTTCTTGCCATATTTGTTTAAGTGACTCACTGCAATTGTTAAATTAGTAACATGCATGAAAAAGGAGTCAGACAGGGCTGCCCACTCTCACCCCTGCTCTTCATATATTATCATTAGAAGCATTACTAATGCAAATTAGACAGAACCCAGACATAAAAGGATTAAAGGTTAAGAAAGAAGAATATAAGTTGCAAGCGTTTGCGGATGATATGATTTTTTTCATTGAGGAACCAATAGAAAGAGGACAAACATTGATGAATGAATTAGAACAATTTGGAGCAGTAGCAGGACTTAAAATTAATAGGAAGAAAACAAAATTAATGACTAAAAATTTAACAGAAAAACAGAAAATAGAACTAGAAGAAGTTATGGGAATACAACTGATAAAGTTAAATACTTAGGAATATGGTTGACAGCACATTGTAAGACGCTTAAGGAAAACAATTATGATAAATTGATGCAACAGGTAAAGAAGGATTTAGAAACATGGGGCAAGCTGCAACTTTCATTATTAGGCAGGATTGCTGCTATTAAAATGAATATTCTTCCAAAATTTCTATATATATTTCAGACGATCCCAATCAAAGTACACAAATTTTTTTTGTGAAGAACTTAATAAAATAACTGTAAAATTTGGCAAGGAAAAAAACCTAGAATAAATTTAAAGGCAATGCAGGATATGAAGAGCAGGGGAGGGCTGGCACTTCCAAATTGAGAGTTGTATTATAGCCTCTTTAGTATGGTTGAAGGAATGGGTGAATTTAACCAATAAGAGAATATTATTCTTAGAAGGCCATGACTTGCAGAGGGGGTGGCATGCTTTTTTATGGGATGTAGGGGAAACTAGCCAGAAATATTTTCACAGACACCTAATCAGAGACTCATTATTAACTAATTGGAAGAAAATATGGAAAAAACACTATTTAAAAATACCGATTTGGATTTCAACAATGGAGGCGATGATTCACCCAAATAATCTGGATATCACTAAAATGATTAAATATAAGGACCTATTGGATACACAAGGAAATTTGAAATCGCGGCAAGAACTTCAAGAGCGGGGACTAAAAATTGATCAGTGGGCATATCTTCAAATTCAAAGTAGATATAAACAGGACAAGAAAGAATTTGGAATTAACAATAAACTCCAGCAATTAGATAAAATTTTATTAGGATCAGGCCAAAAAAATATAACAAAATTTTATAATTATTTATTAGAAGTAGAATTAGAAGAAGAAATTGTAAAAGGGAACATGATAGCCTGGAGTAGGAATATAGGACGTAGCATCACCATAACAGAATGGGAAAAGGTCTGGGGTAGAAATAATACAATTACAAAATCAGTAGCATACAAAGAAAACACCTATAAAATGTTTTATAGATGGCACCTTCCTCCTTCAAGATTAGTGAAGATGCACCCCAATATGAGTCGGAATTGCTGGAAATGCAAAAAAAAAGAGGGAACTTTTTTCCATATGTGGTGGTCCTGTACAGAAGCCCAAAAATATTGGCAGAAAATTAGAAATTGGCTGGAAGAAATGACAAGAGAACAGATTGAATTCAAACCAGAGTCCTTTCTGTTAGGGATCTTTGATAAACAAATATAAAAAAAAGTGAAATATATAATAATACACATTTTGACAGCGGCCAGACTGGCTTTTGCACAATGTTGGAAGCAGCCTCATGTTCCATCAGAGGAGATGATCATTCAAAAAATTTCAAGTTGTGCAGAAATGGACAAATTAACTTTGGCATTAAAAAATAAAGACACTTCAATATACTACAACAGCTGGAACTGCTGGTACAAATGGATAGACCAAAGATAGACTTCACACTAAAGGGCAAAAGAGGATAGGATAGATCCATAATAGTGATACACAGATATATGTAAGGATTAGGTGTGTGTATATGGCATAAAATAAGGATAAAAAAAGAGGTCTTACAAACTGTTGAAGATGAGAATGTTTTTAATTGTTTTCTATTTTTTTCTTTCTATTTTCTTCTCCCTCTCTTCTTTTTCTCTCTTTCATTTATGTATGTGTTGTTGGTTTGTTTTAATTGTAAAATCAATAAAATTTATTTAAAAAAAAATAGTAACATGCATGTTAAGTGAATCGGTATCAGTTCTGCCCCCGTTTGATCCCTTAAGAAAGAAAGACCCTCAGTTCCATACAACATACCACCACCACTTCTGAAACTAGGATTGGGTTCTTTCTAATGAAAAATAATCCATCAAAAGAGAAGAAATTCAAAAAACTTTACAACTGTCCTGCAGGAGTTTTCCTCCCGGCTTACACAGGTAGTCCTCGACTTTCAACCACAATTGAGCCCAAGATGTATGTATATCCTGAAGGCAAGATATCGGTTAAATGAGTTTTGCCCCATTTTACAACCTTTTTGCCCATAGTTGTTAAGCGACTCACTGCAGCTGTTAAGCTGCTAAGCTTAACATGGTTGTTAAGTGAGTCTGGCTTCCCCATGGACTTAGCTTGTCAGAAGGTCGCAAAAGGGGATCACGCAACCCGAGGACACTGCCACCACCATAAAAGTGAGTCAGCAGCCAAGCATCTGTATGTAAAACATGTGGCCAGGGGGATGCTGCAACAGTCGTAAGCGTGAAAAATGGTGACAAGTCCTTTTTTTCAGTGCCGTCATAACTTAGAACGGTCACTACATGAACTATTGTAAGTTAAGGACTACCTGTATAAAATTCTCAGGAGCATCGAAGGCAGAGAAGAGTCTCTGTTGTTTCCCAGGGAGACAAATCCCTTCGTACCTTCAAGAGGAGTCTGGTGGAGCCAGGAAACTCCCGGTCAGAAACGAGGAACTGGGGGGGCTTCAGAGCGCAGTGCACGATGCCGCCGTCTTCGTGGGGTGGGCAGCAGTGGCCAACGATGCTCTGGAAGCCAAGGAGAAGTTGTGATCATTCCTGCACCCAGTCCCTCTCTGGCACCTGGCTGAGGGGGAAGGGTCTCTCCGGAGGGAGCAAATCGAGTTTCTTTAAGTCATACTAGGTATACGGTTTTTCCTGCCGAGGCAGCGAGTTGGACTAGAACAGCCACCGTGGCCCACCGGTGGTCCATGGGAAAATTTTGGTGGTCTGCAGAGAAATGTCACCCGCAGAGCACCCCCCCAAAGCAATTAATCCAGGCTGTGCAGGAACAAGGCTGCGCCACACACATAGCCCGCAGGAATCCTCCCCGCCTACTCACTCCTTACCTGACAAACTTGCCTGCTAAGTTGCTATTTTTCCTTTTATTTGACCCTGGCCATCAGCTGTTCTGTTCTACTAGGTAGCCGATGGCAGATAGATAGATCTCTGAATGATTCTGTGAGCAACTCAATTTGCCTGCCTTCTTTGCCTGATTTGGGGTAAAAGTTGCCCTTTTTATAAAAAATTTAAATATTTTTATAAAAAATATATTTACATAAATATTTATATTTACATATAAGCCATGCCCAGCCAGTCACATGACCAAGCCACACCCACAAATTAGGCCATGCCCACAGAACACACTCTTAAGAAATCTGAATCCCACTCCTGCCTCTGTGTGTTCATGGGGTGGGGGGAGAGGTTAGATCAACTCTCTCTCTCTCACACACACACACACACACACACACAAACACACACGTGTCAGCAAGCCACCATCAGTCAACATTCATTCCACAGGATTTAAAATTATGTGTTTGGTGGTCCCTGAGGCCCAAAAGGTTGGCGACACCTGCTATATAGTATAGCATTACAGACAGGTGAAGGTCCATTCTCTTTTTAAAATCCTCCACTGATGGAGCACCCACAACTTCTGAAGACAAACTGTTCCTCTGGTTTATTGTTCTCAGTGTCAGGAAATTTCTGCTTAATTCTAAGTTGCTTCTCTCCTCGGTTAGTTTCCACCCATGGCTTCTTGTCCTGCCTTCTGTTCTTCGGAGAATAGCTTGACTCCCTCTTCTTTGGGGCAGCCCCTGAGATATTGGAACATTGCAATCGTGTCTCCATCTAGTCCTTCATTATCAGAAATACCCAATTCCTGCAACCTAAGTAAGTTTTAGCCTCCAGCCCCCTAAACATCCTTATTGTGCTTCTCTGCACTCTTTGCGGAATCTCAAAACATCTTCTTAATCATAGGGCCACCAAAACTTTAATGCAATATTCCAAGTGTGTGTGTGTGTGTGTGTGTGTGTGTCTTACTTAGCAAGGCATTATAAAGTGGTATACAGAATAAGAGAGTTGAAAGGGGCCTTGGGAGATCATCTAGTCCAACCCCTTGTTCAAGCAGGACACCCTATACCAGGGGTCCCCAAACTTGGCAACTTTAAGACTTGTGGACTTTAACCCCCAGAATTCTGGGAGTTGAAGTCCACAAGTCTTAAAGTTGCCAAGATTGGAGACCCCTGCCCTACTGTCCAGCCTCTTTTCAAAATCCTCCATTGATATGAAGACTTTATGTGATCTTGAGGCTATCCCTCCCCCCCGCAAGCAGCGCCCCCCCCCCACGCCTTTCCTGCCCTGCTACCTGGTCGAAACGGGCCCGTTGTGGGAAGCCGCCCCCTCTGCAGACGTGCACCGCCACCCTCCTGCCGGCCAGCATGGTCTGGGGCCCTTCGGAGCAGGAAGGACGAACTGCCACTCCTGCGAGAATCTCGGCTGGTCATGGAGGGAGGTGGCCCTCTAGCGGCGGTTCCCTGGAGCTGCAGCCGCTTCTCTTGGTTGGGAGAGCGCCCTCTAGCGGCTGCGGCCGACTTTCTTTGCCAAAGGAGTCGGTTCCTGTGGATTTGGTTGGCTCAGCCAGGTTGGTGGCACTCCAGAAGATCCGGGATTACAGATAACAGAGCTGGAAGGGACCTTGTAGGTCACCTAGTCCAACCCCCCCCTACCTCCAAGGAGGAGACCTTACTACACCATTTCTGACAGAGTTGATTCCTGCAGCTCAGTTCTTGGGAACTTGATTGACAGCCTGGTGTAAGGTCACCAGCTCGATAAAAAGGGTTGGGCTAGATGACCTCTAAGGTGCATTGCAAGCTTGTTATGCTATGTTTTGTGACAGATAGTACGTGTTCATGATTTTTTTCTCTCTCTTGACCATAGCTTCCTTATTTGGCAGTACAGGGTAGTTCTCAACTTACAACACTTCACTTAGGGACCTTTCGAAATTACAACCAAACTGAAAATGATTAGGGGACTGGAGGCTTAAACATACAATGAACAGTTTCAGGAACTGGGCCTGGCTAATGAAGGGAAGGACCAGGGGAGGCAGGAGAGCTGTCTTCCAATATTCGAGGGGCTGCCACAGAGAGGAGGAGGAAGGGGTCAAGCTATTCCCCCAAGCACCAGAAGGCAGGACAAGAAGCAACGGATGGAAACTAATCAAGGAGAGAAGCAATCTGCAACTAAGGAGAAACTTCCTAATAGAACAATTAACCAGTGGAACTGCTTGCTACCAGAAGTTGTGTGTGCTCCATCACTAGAGGTTTTAAAGAAGAGACAGGACAGCCATTGAAATTGACTCGCCTACTCGTGGAGGGAGTTGGACTGCAATTGCAAGTGTGAGCCATTGCCAAGCACCCAGATTGTGATAATGTGACCACAGGGGTAGTGCAATAGTTGTAAGTGCGAGTAAAAGTTGTACATCACTTTTTCCAAGTAGCTTTGAGCAGTCATTAAACGGTCAGACTAAACGATCAAAATCAAGGACTACCTTTATACTCTCAATTCACACATTTCCTTCATCAAAAACTACCACTGCATGAAGGCAGTATTTTTTTTAAAAAACATATCTTTTTTATATGAAAACAAAACAAATCAGACTTTAAAAATTAGAAGACGGGAATTTCTGAGCTCCAGCCGATGGCTCAGTGCCTGATGGTGCTGTTGATGTACAATTCCAAAATGAAGATGGTTTCATCCACTTGGTTTTCACTGGCATCGAGCCTTGAATGAAAAAGAAAGAGAAAATACAATTCATGGAAAGGTTGCACCTTTTAATCATTGAACCAGTTGGCCTGATTGCTTGAGCAACTGCAGTTTCTATTGGTAAGCTGTTCCACTGGTTAATTGTTCTCACTGTTTGGGAATTTTTCCTTAGTTTTAGGTTGCTTCTCTCCTTGATTAGTTTCCACTCGTTGCTTCTTGTCCTGCCTTTCTGGTCAGGGGTGGGATTCAAATTTTTTAACAACCGGTTCTGTGGGCGTGGCTTAGGTGGTGGGCATGGCTTGGTGATCATGTGACTGAGTGGACGTGGCTTGGTGGTCATGTTATTGGCTGGGCGTGGCCAACTCAATATCACTCACATCAAGGCACGCATCTCCTCGCCTGGCCTCTCGTGACTGTGGGGATGCTGCAACAGTCGTAAGTGTGAAAAAGGGTCATAAGTCACTTTTTCCAGTGCCACTGTAACTTTGAACTCAACGCAAGCAAAGTACCAGCAAAGGAGGGGGGAAAAAACTCCAGAGACGTTCCAGAGACAGGAAGTCTAGTCCCGCCAAGAATGTAATAAGGAGAGGCAGTTTCTGTAAGCAACCCCAGAATGTTTCCTTCCCGACTTCCTTACAGGATTAGCCCGGTAATTTCTTCTAACAATCGGTTCTCCGAACCGCTTAGAATGTTAACATCCGGTTCTAGAGAATAGGTGTGAACTGGTAGAATCCCACCTCTGCTTCTGATGCTTTGGAGAATAACTTGACCCCCTCTTCTTTGTGGCAGCCCCTTAAATATGGAATACTGCTATAATGTCATCCCTGGTCCTTCTTTTCACTAGACTATCCAAACCCAATTCCTACAACTGTTCTTCATATGTTTTAGTCTCCAGGCCTTTAATCCTCTTAGTTGCTCTTCTTTGTAATGTGGTGACCAAAACTGGATGCAGTATTGCAGGTGTGGCCTTACTAAGAATTTATAAAGCGGTGCTAATATTTCACATGATTTTGATTTATCTCATCTAGCCCGTCTTGGCTCCCTTTCTTTGCCCTCCTAGCCTGTATTGGTGGTTGGGGCTGAATTTGGAGAACTGAATTCTGTCAACTTTGGCTTCTGAAAGGATTGGACAGTCGTGTCCTTGCTGGAGTCTGATTCCGAGGGGGAGATTGAGCAGCTGACAGGGAGTGGGAGTGCGGCTCCAGTGGCTGTGGAAGAAATGGGGGACAGGCACAGTCCGGCTGGGCATTCAGAGGAAGAAGACCCAGGGCCATCCCCTCTTCATCCTTGGGTATGCAAGGAGGAACGGAGAAGGGAGCAATGTGGATTATGGGGGAGGAAAAGGCCCCGATTCCCTTCATTAGTTGCAGTTGGGAGAACAGGATAGAAGTGGGGCGTTTGCACACAGCTCCTTGCTGGAAGCAAAGAGTGCATTATCTTTGTCGAGGCTTATCTGGGTTTTGGCATCCTCCCAACTGTGGGTGCTGCGTTATCCTTTGGAAGTCTCCAATTTATCATCCTGGCCTTTCGTGTTAATTACTCCAGGGTGGTTTGTGTTGGTCTTTTTATTTCTACTTTATCTGTACTTTGGATTTGGACTGCATTTCTTCCCTTTGTAGACTGTTTTTGGAAGAGTTTGATCTCCAGCCGAGGATAACTGGACATTGGGGGCCAAATTGGAGGTATTAAAGGAAATTTTTCTACTTTTGTGACTTTTGTTATTTTTGTGCCACGCCCCGGGTCATCACATGGACAATCCCAGGCTGGCGACTCCGTGAGGTGGGGTAAGGGCTTCAACCACTCCCACCCACCCCTACCTGGGCCATACTCACTTGTTGACGTTGTGCTTGAGGGTCTCCAGCTGCTGCCGTTCGGGTGCCGTGATCATTTCCTCAATCTCCTGCAGCTGCGCCTGCTCAGCCCCCGTGGCCTGGACCGAGGCGAGGATCGCCTCCACCCGCTGGCTCTTCTCCAGCAGACGCCTGCCACGAGAGAAAGGCCACGGTCAGAGGGTCTTGTGGTCTTTGCTCGAATCACAGAGACCACGAGGCCAAAGGCCAGGTGACTTCAGCAGATGTCGTTTAACAGCCCCGTAATCCCTTGCAGGGTGAAGTCTGGGCAACTGAATGGAGCTAGCTGAGTGTTTACTGGCCGGATGCCTTTCCTGTCACCAATGCGGTGTTTTGTTCGGCAGATATATTTCTCATTGTGACCAGAGAGAAAAATATCTGCCTCTACCTAGGATTGAACTCACAGCCTCCTGACTGTGAGGCCAGAGCTCCCCCTATAAGCCACCCTACCACTCAGGTGAGTTCAACAGATGCCCCGGAGATACAAAATATTTCATGAGAAACTTTGATTTTGTCGAACAGATAGATTTGTCGTTTTAGAAACGGCTACTTATATACTGATGGGCAGAAGCAAAAAGTTGAGGTAGGAGCGTTTCTACCTTGTAGTGGGCTAAAAAGAGTCAGAAGACAATGCCTTTCTTTTTCTTTTTTCCACTTTCTGCCCCCCGTCTCTCCTTCCCCTAATTTTCTACTTCTATTTTTCTTTAAGTTTTATATATAAAATAAACTAGCTTGATCCCGCTGCTTTCCTATGAAACTGTGGTTGGGCTTAGTTTTGGGGGAGGAAAATAAGGGGGGGCGGGGAGAAATCTGCCTCTGCCTACCAGCATCCATTGGTATTCATCTGGCTAGCGTCCTATCAGTATGTGAGAGAGTTGAGGCTGTTTGGAAACTAAAACAGTATTTGCTGTGTGAGCAAGGAGACAGTAAGGAGACTGGGCGTGGCTTAGCTCAACTGTCCTGTACTAAAGCTGCTTGGTGCTCTGAAACCGAAACTGAAACTCCTCTCCTCTGCTTGTGTTTTGCATTTCTTTTCAGGTGGGGAGGGGGAGTAGAACTCCTTAGCATCAGAGGGTGTTAATAATAATATAGGAAATGCTAATGCTCTGATGGTCATTTCGAAAAACCCATTCCTAAAAGCCAAGAGGAATATATATACATGCCAAATTTCAAGTTTGTAGGCATTACAGTTCCGGAGATTTTGTGATGATGCGTGAGTGGTCTTTCGCTTTTAGATAGATAGATAGATAGATAGATAGATAGATAGATAGATAGATAGATAGATAGAT